TTCTTTTGACAAAAGGATGAAGTCTCTATCTGTCAGGGAAGCCGAGATATTGCAAAATAAAAAAGGTCTTCAACTTTTGAACAGCACTTTTTATATAAAAATTAACCCGGTCCTGAAAGGGTTAACCTAAAAGGTGTGTAGTAAAGAAGCAATACGACTTTTGTAACCTTAACAATTGGATGAAACGTAAATGGCGCTTTCCCTTTTTTATTGGTCAAACGCTGAAATAAGAGTAATATCTAATAATAACTAGCTTAAACTGTTGTTGTTTTCATGGAAAGAAGAAGAAAAAGAGACATATCTGTAAAAAAGCTGCCGACAGGCATTTATTAATGATAAGTCAGTTTTACTTTCTTTCTATTATTATTGACTTGTTAATATTAGATTTTCTTCATAAGGACTTATCATTCTATCTTCACATTTCCGTCTTTTTTATCAGTATACTCATTTATCTTGATTTTTTTTCGTCGGTAGTTGGTGCATTAGAAAAAAATTCAGGTAATTCGTCGTTACGCGGGCGTAACTAATTGAATTTAGATGATCGTATGGTGCCTAACAACTTTTATATAGAGATGGTGTCATTTGCTGTGTGTGTTTTTTTTTCTTTTTCTTTATATACAGATTATGTTATCATACCACTGACAAGTTAACTAATGTTGAATAATCGCGTATATGGTATATACCATATACACACAGATACGTTCAGTTATACATCTACACAGTTCTCATTTTTTTTTTCATGCCTAATCAGATCATAAATCTTCATCAATTCTGAAAATGTCAACAAATAAGCCTACCCATCTTTCTTGCCGTGTTTATCACTCGAGAAGTAACAGTGATAAATGAAACAGGATAACAAGAACTCCGAGAACATCAACCCTGTATGGACATTTTATAATCTTTCACATAAGTATCCCTAGACTTTCGATTGTTATTGTTGTTGAAGGTTTTTATTATTTTTTTCCACATTTGACTGATTGTAGTACATTCACCAATCAAGGTAGAACAATTAAACGATTTTGTTGCTTGTAAGTGAGTTTTCGAAACAGTCAGCGAGTTCTGTATTCACAGGAAAATGTCAGAGTACAATAGGAAAGATATATTCCTACTTTTAAGAATTTACTAGAAATCTGAAAGGGATTTACTTCGATTTCTCACTTTAAACAATTTACTCTGCTGTCGATGCATTTAATTACATTTTGAAAAAGTGACGAGTAAAACAAAAAAGTCATAATAATTCTCAATGAATTTTTTCTGTATTTATTTATATCTATTTGATTAAATAAATTCAAATTTATTTGACGAATTAAAAGATTTAAATAAATAGATAAGTTTAAGCGGCCGATACACACTTTTTGTTTTTCTGTGGCAGAGCAATCCCCAACCAGAGTATTATCCCAAAGTATTACCCGATCAATCAATGTCAATAAGGGATACAGGATCTCTAAACTCAACATACCGTTCTGCCAAACCTGCTACTAAACTCCAAAATTCTCTATAAAATAATTTCTATGATATAGAGTACTATAGGGTAAACAGAGTCAATTAAAACCATGCAACTCATATTTGAATATATTGGTGAGGCTAACATGAATTTTTAAGAAATTTTTACATTATCATATATACGATGATCGACTCTACCAACCACGTTAATATGAGGTTTTTTTCAAGTGAAAACAAATGAGAAATAGTAAAATCACATAGAAAATGTCTACCACTATCTCTTTTTACTCCATAATATACTCTATTTTGTATGGAAACTCTAACACTTAGAAAAATTGGTCAAGTTTTCTTATCACCTCGAAATCACTTTTTCTTTCTTTTTTCTTCCTTTTCTACTTATTCTGATGATGATGATATTAAAGTTTGCTGTTCCTAATTACATTGATATGATTGTACATTCTTATTGGAAGAAAAAACCTCATCTCTATTCGATATATATAGAATTAATTCTGCGAATGATAACGATTGTCAAGATATATTCTCATCTTTTGGCAGAAGATAAACAACGTCTATCAAACAGAAGAAAAAAAAACGACAATAATATTATAACTAAGCTTATATACATTTTGTTCTTATCACAATCGCGTTTACATTTTCGCTCGTTGCTTGTCATCATCTCTCTTCAAAAATATTTAGCAATACACACATCTTCCTTCCTATTCTTCTTCTTTTACTTTTATTATATGGATAATCCATTGTCTCCTCGTGCAAGTTCTTTTAGTATCGCATCATTGATTACGTCAGATAGTTGTGATGAAAATACAATTTATGCTGCTACATGCCAAGATAATGATAAGACATATTTAAATAATACAAATATTTTAAAATCTCTTACAACTTTAAACGAACACAATGGATTAACAGACTTATCATCTTGTATTCCAACAACATCAACAACACAAAAATCAAATAATAATAATCACCAAATAACAAATTTACAAAAAAGTTTAACAACAATTAGAAATATGGAAGGTAAATTGGAGTTCGAAGATAAAGTGGAATGATATTCTTTTTAGGTATATGTTATCTAAACAGAGATGGGTTAGTTACACGTTTCAGATTCTAAAACGGACTTTAACCAAATTCTGAGGAAATATTAGCTACTTCTAGTATCCCACAAAATTCTATAAGATGACTGTGAGCTACAACCGTCAAATTTCTAGCACATTATACGACATTTTCGATGTGCCGTTCTTCTAGGCATATTCATGTACTTTGTAATGTACCTGTTTCGTTGCAAAAGCGTGTGCCATCTACATGGTCTATATATAGCTCGTTTATTACAGTTGATTTATGATATGAATTAGTATAGTTTTTCTACAGATTAACTTAAAACATAACACGCAGAGTGGTAAGACACCTTCAGCACTATATACAGGTATATAGATATTTTGACAACTGTATTTTCGATTCTGAATTTTGAGTTTATGATAAATGTTCTATCACAAAACAGAGGGAAAAGAGATCAGAATACATTGGCAAGGTAAATTAGAATGTGCTGAGTTATATAGGACACATTTTATCCAAGACGCATTTTATATCCTACATGTCGTCTTACAAGACATTTACAAAAGTGCCAGAAGCACCTAGAGGCCATAAAAGCAGAGTGAAGTTTACATTTTTTTATAAGAGGAGCCAAAAGGGCAAAACTTTACATCTTAAATGAGTGCAACATATTATTAATCTATTTCAGTTAAATAGTGTGTGAAAATGTTCCAGAGTAAATCATTTTCAAAACTGGTGTCAAACATTTTTTGCAGCAGGTGAAGTTAACTACACTCTAGGAGATCGTCGCTGAACACTGCTCATGTATAAGGCACATTTTATATATACCTCTCATACGACGCAATTTGAAAAGGTACATTTCTTTACAATGCAAAAAAGAGAAGACCTCAAAATTTTGAATTTTGTGCGTAAAACACATGCAAAATGATTATCTTCTTTCGGCCAATAGAAGCCTATACCGTATTTTTTCTTTTGAATGAGCGCACCAATGAAATTTCATCTCTCATTTTCTCAAAACTTTTCAGATTACATTCAAAATGCCACAGAAAAAATAAAATCAACTGCCTCATCGGCGGACAATTCATCATCGAAATCAGACAATAACAATCAATGTAGCGGTGGTTTAACCGATATTAATAATGAAATAAAAAAACCATTACATCCAAAATTAAGCAATATACGACTAATAATTGAATCAAAACAGTTATGGGATGAATTTGATCAACTGGGAACAGAAATGATTGTTACGAAAGCAGGAAGGTATATGAGTATTCAAATTTTTGAACACAGCTGATTTTGAAGCTTTTTTTTGTATAATCTAGAACAACTAAGTACGCGCAAATACTGTATGTCATATGACAATCATGGCTTTTTCATGTCGATAAGCTTATATCGAAAATTAACTATCGTCAGTTAATCACTTGTATAATCTAAAATACAATGAGAAGTATACAATCAATTTTACTGTTTGTGCGTGTGTGTAAAAGTCATTTGAAAAAATATCGACTATAAGGATATGCACATCTGTGTGGGTGGATCACATAGTTCGCTTGAGTCAGATTAAGCGAATAACGATCATTTCTCATTCTAATAATATATGCAGTATAGAAGATATTTGATATCGTCATCATCCACCAACGCGTATTTTATAGATAAGAAAAAAAGTCATGATAAGACAAGAAAGTGATTTTTTCCCTGTTGTTTCAATGGCTCAATTGAAAAATCTCATGAGATTAAAGAAACGATCTATCTACGGCACGTATTAGACTTCGTTCGTTCGTCTTCAATGAAAACATGTGCTAAATTGCTATATAATAACGTGAAGTTGTTTCAGGAATGTAAATATCAATCACGAAATGCCTAGATACATTTATCAATGAACAGAATAGAGATAAATATTAAATCAGTGATTCGCCTTACTGGCAAAGTGTGTCTATACGCACACATATTTAGTATCTTATTCATCTTCATTTACTGTGACTGCTCTCGATAGATTGAACGAAGAAAGCGATCAAAGTTTTTAAAGAATCTTTCATTTTAATATAGACAGACGAAAAGAACCTGGCATAATTCTGTGCTTCCATTAAGTAAAATCTCCACATCTGTATAAATGCAAACTGCTAGTATGTCACAGTTTTTTGCTTAGTGTCAATCCTATTCAATACTAAAACAGTTTTTAAAAAATCGAACACTGTAAATAGAAAATGATTAACTTTCTCTCAAGAACTTGATCTCTTGTTCTACTTTAATTGAATTGTGAACGGAGTGATCAGATATTAAATAATGAGTTAGTAGATTACGTTTTTCAAACGATAGTAGCTATTCCTCGTCACAGCTTAAAAATGTTGAAAATAAACTTTTATTTGACAGACAGGGATGTCAGAATACGCAGTTATTCACAAAAATTGCATTTTTCAATAAATGTATAGGATTGCCGAGCGAATTCTCTCTTTTTGAAAAAGTGCTACCTATTGGGCTTCCACAGAAAGTTCAAATATGTGGACAAGAATACATTCAGCTATGGATTTTTGATGACAGATCAACAAATCCATGCGTACTATAAAGGAAAATAGTCCTTTTTTAATACACATTATACTAATATTCTGACGCCTCTCTTACAGGCGGAACGTTTCCATGTTCAAAACATATAGAGAACAAATAAACTATGTGTACTGATACTTCATTCATGTGTTCTAAAACTCAGAAATAAGAGCTAATATCTATAAGAATCGCTAAATTTGTCGTGCACCATCTGACATCCACCACTTAGATGATTGTCAAAAATCAATGAGGTTGTTTGACAATAACAAAAAAGTTATCAATACTTTTGTCTCTATGGTTCTTAAATCGCTTGAAAAATGGTTAGCGGAGTTGTTTAGAAGCCAAAATCCTTTTTAACTCATCGGTTTTATTCAACATGATCAGATGAACATTTTGCATAGTGATTTTCGATTCCGATTAGGCAATTATGAGGCCATTTTCTAACGGGTGACTATGACACATTATTGTATTGATCTTTTAGTCGGTTTTTTTCAGATTCAAACAAATTTTTGAGCTTAAAATATATCAAAAGACAGTATTCTTAATTTTCTACAATTGTAATGACTCTTCTACACTGAGATAGAGGATCATTAATAAGTGCGATAACGAAAATGCCATGTATACAGTAAAATAGACTTTTGCCAAATATTTTGCGTCAGAAATATGTAGAAAACATTACATTGTGTAACTACGACGGCCACTAACAATAGTGATTATTTACCTAACATTTTATTTCATTTTCTTTTATTTCAAAGACGTATGTTTCCCACACTGCAAGTAAAAATGTACGGAATGGATTCTAGTGCAACATACATGTTAATGGTCGATTTTGTTCCACTTGACGATAAACGTTATCGTTATGCGTTTTACAGGTGAGATTAATGGTTAGTTTTTTACTAATTTGCGTTCATTTTTTTCTTTTTGATAGTTCAAGTTGGGTAGTTGCTGGTAAAGCTGATCCTCATTGTCCTGGTCGTGTTCATGTACATCCCGATTCACCACAATCTGGTGCATCATGGATGAAAAATGTTGTCTCTTTTGATAAACTAAAATTGACAAATAATTTACTCGATGAAAATGGCCATGTAAATACTGTATATAACATGTTTAAAAATTTTCATTTCTCATCTAAAAATATTGTGTTTAGATAATTTTGAATTCAATGCATCGTTATCAACCTCGTATTCACTGCGTTTATTTACCACCACCAAAATGTGAAGATTTTATTATTGGACAAACACAAAATTTTCGTACATTTATATTTCAAGAAACAAAATTTATTGCTGTTACTGCATATCAAAATCATCGTATAACACAACTAAAAATTGCTAGTAATCCATTTGCAAAAGGATTTAGAGATTGTGATCCAGAAGACTGGTAAGTAGCGAATTTGATACATATTTATGTTATTGTCAGTTTTATATGTTTTCATCTAGTGTTGCCGAAGTTTTAAGTCATTTAAATTCTAATCAAAGACTTCTTCGTTCACATCCAAGAAATGGCACTTCCAATACAAACATTAACAATACTATCAATAATTCAAATCAGAATAATACTGGAAATACAGCACAAACATCGAATTCTTTACAATTATTCAATGCTGTAAGAGCAAGATCAGCACTAAATTCATTCATGCAAGATCCACGTGGTAAGACATAAATTTAAAAGTAATTCTTTGACGAAGTCGAATATTTTTCAGAACAAATGAAATTTATTAATAAGAGAAAGAATTTTACATGAAAACTATTTTTATTCCTCTTCAGATACTTTGACACCCACAACTTATTCCGCTTTGGTTGGAAACGATTTAGCTGAAGTTAGTTATGCTAATTCAGCTGCAGCAGCATCAGCCTACGTTTATTCACAATTATCTGATTTGAACTATCCATCGTCCCGAACATCATCTTCATCCTCATCGTCAACAACAACACGTATTAGTCCCTATTCACGAAATAGTGCGTATCCAATGTATACTCACAATAATGTTCATTCACCATCATCGGTAAATGAATTTTATTCAAACAGTTAGTTTGTGATCATAAAGTTCATCAGAATTATTTGTGATACAGATGTTTGAACACGTATACTCGTATTTTTATTTCCATACTATATCGAGTTATTTTTTGTTCTAATTACTTAACATACGGTATCTATTGTGAATATTCGAGATATATAATGTTCATCTTTTCTTCGAGTTTTTTTATATTGCTTCTAATTTTTTTTTTTTTTAGTTTTACTATAATTAATATACAACTATTGCTTTTTTTCAATACATTATTTACCCTTTTTTCTTCATAATCATTTTTTGTGAGCTGGTGGTCAGATACCCAAGCTTTTCCTCGATCTTCTATCTTTGTTGCATGAGCTATAGTAGTATATTGAGGCAAATATATTATTAATGCTGTAACGGAAAAATAATGCTATGTCCTTACTGTGCTTATTTTTTATTAGCAGTGAGCCAACTGTTTTTTGTTTTGAAATAAAGCAAATTCTTTGCATTGATATTCAAAATATACAAATGATTGTTACCAAAAAAAGCAGTTATCATCGACTATGCATAAGAATTTTATAAGCCTACATTATGTCTTACAATGACTTTGCTGTTAAAGTTCAAGTTATTTTTTTATACTTTGACACATAAGTGTTATGAAGTGACTGAGTAATTTTAAAGTACTTTGGGTATTATGGTGATTAGATACATTTTCTTGTGGATCAATCTTTGAACTTTCCTTTAGTGTTGAAATTGTACGTATAATGTTATCATTCCTTCAATGTTTATTTTAATTTGTCGAACTCTGACCACCATGTTGCTAACTGTTTATACGATTGATGTCAAGATACGTTTGTTCATGTTTATATGCAATCATCATGGTTCTCTGTTTCTCTCTCTCTCTATGTTTATAAATAGATATTTTCCTCTTCCCATGACAGAGTATATAATACTATTTTTAAGAGCTTTTTTTAGTCGATTGTATATAAATTTGCTGGTAATTAGATGATTTACTAATTATCGTGGGTTTTTTATCATTTCATAAAATAAACATGCAAATAAAGATGTTAGCAAACACACATATATATCACCGGTGATGTCTGAAGAATTTCGATAAAATCATAGTTATAAATGCTATGGGTCTATGTGTGCTTTACGTTTGATATATTCATAAATGAATCAGAGGAAAGAAAAGAAATTATACTCACCTTATCGATAAATTAAAGAAGACTAGAATGTATATATTCTTTTCCTCGAAGAAAAGGGAATTTGGGGAGAGAGACTTGTACAAAGTCATTTTGAACGTCAACTCCTACAATTGAAGAAAGCGAATGAGTTTAAAAAAGGTCAATATTGCAGCAGAATGTATGTGTATAGTTGTATCAGAGATTTACTCAAACGTCAGTTAATCTTTTCGCTCAGTGTTAGTCCAATTTTCTAAAAATATTCAGATTTATGTTAGGTCAAGAACAGAAGTGTTATTCTAAATTGATAAACAAGACAGATGTATAATCAGGAATGATTAACGAATCATCATTAATGAATTACCTTAATCAATTTCTATGCTGTGTATAAACTATATCAAATATAAATGTATGTGACATACACATGTGACATACACGTGGGCGAAAATGATGACATCATTCTGATAGTTACGCAATGCATATTAATATGAGAAAATAGTTAGTATATTCGAGTTGATAATAAATGGATATAGAAATAATAGCATTTTCTTCAAAATAAATACCACTTGAGTGTGGACTGTAGATTAATTTGATTATGTTATACATTCGAACAGTTTCTTAGCGGATGATAACGAAAAAGCAATGAAGTTCATTGTGTGACGATTATGCTACATAAGGGGTACGAATAACAGAAATCATCTCTCTTTGAAAGGTTGAGAATTGTTCCAAGAGTAACGGAATTACTATCATGAGACAGATAAGGTACAAAAACACAGCACAATGATCTATCTCTAACTAAAAGGTTGATTAGCAAAAAATAGTACAGTCTAGGATATACTCATCAACAAATTCCTTTTCCACTCTTCGTTATAAAACAGTGTATACAATAATAGTAATATAAAAAAACGTTCGAAACGAATCGAAAGAGACAACAACACACAAATAAGATAAATTTGATCCTATATGTCACTTGCATACATAAAAGTGTCAGTCAGTTTATGTTCCTTTTTTTTAAGATATACATCCATTCGTTGTTTCAGAATAATTTACGTAAGCAAGTGCTAAATCTCACTTTTAAAAAAATATCAGATTGCATTATTGAATAATAAATAACGTTCATACGGGAAGAATAAAAGTTTATTATTTGGACGGAATTTTGAGAGCTATCCTATACACAAATTATAATACCACTTTAATAATAATGTTAGTACAAAGAAAAAAAAATTTTGACGATTCTTGGTTTTTTACTAAAAATTGCTTTGCTTGATAAATGTTTACGATGAATCATTACGACCTTGTAGAAATACTTCTCCAAAAACCATTGCGATTAATGTTAATGCGATAAGCAAGAAGAAATGTGATGCAACAGCCAAATTGTAAGACCAAGACATTGGTACGCATGATGATGATAGTGTAGTCCCTGCAGAGTACGATGAATCTCGAGAGTACACACCCCATGTAGCATAGGCAGACATGATAAACATTGAACTAAAGAATAAAAATCCAACAGATGCTAATATTAAATATCTTGACATGTTCTCAACAAATGCTCCGGCAATAGCCGTAACAATACCAAAAAATAATAATAATAAGCCAAATACAGATAGACCACCTTGTGTTACTCGATTATTAGTGCTACATCCTAAACTTGAGGTACAAGTTTTGAATAATCCTACTTGATAACCACTTCCATCATCTAACCAATTTGGAGTGCCCACACTAATGATAATTAATAATAATGCAAATGAAGCTATGCCCGATCCGGCAAACAATAGTATTCTTCTTGAGACCATTTTTATCTAGAGTTAAAATCCTATTAACACAACAGAACAAACCTTCGATATGTTTAGAGAAAATAATGCGAGTTTTGTTTGATGTTTCGTTTCTTTATTATTTATTTATATTCTTTTCTTCTTTCTTACACATCAAATTTTTGGAGTTTTATAATAATTCAGCTATTTTTGAAATAAATCGAAAAATTTATTCTAAAATAATAAGCGATAAAAAGAAATAGTAGAGAAAAAGAATAACAGAACTAGAAGCAAAGAATGACGTGTACATATGAGTACGATTTTTTAGATTGGATTCTTTATACAATTAAGTATATGCCGATGTGTTAAAATAAAATGGAATGATGAGAAAAAATATACCTTATGATGCATATAGTGAGAGCGTGGTTAGTAGTAAAAAGAACTCACTTATTTTTTCTTCAATTATTTTATAATGCTAAACTTATGAAAATGGATTCGGAATGATACAAAATGTTGAACAATACATCTGACAGAAAACAAAAAAAAAACACAGAGTGACAGAAAATATAAGAAGAAAAAAATGACAAAATGTGTTACATATTGTAACTCACAACATTTATATTATTGATAAATGCCGGTATGCAATACAAGTCTGAAAATGACGGTCGTATGTTCAACAGGAAAAAAAAACAGCTTTTCTAAGAAGAAAAAAAGAGAATTTATTAGACGAAGAAAAAGAAGTTTTTTCACACATAAAATTCAAAACGGAACAAAAAAAAATTCAGCATCAAACAGAGAATAGACAGAGAGAAAGAAAAACTTTGTAGTAATAATAATAATAATAATAAATCAGCATAAATGTGCACGAATAGCATAAGATGAAAATGTTGTTGTATTATTCTTATTTAATTGACACACTCTATACTAGAACTAGTCTCGAACTTAAATCGTGGTCTACCACGATTATCAATTTAAGATTCAACTCCATTATCAACAACTTTCAAGACAACATGTTTATTAAACAAAATTTTTCAGCTACAGGGAGTTTAGTACCAAAAGATAAAAGGAACAAAACAAATATTTGTGAAAGGTTCCAAATTGAGAAATGAAGCAATAAATACTCTCAATGATTGTTAGTTTTGTATTAGTGCAATATTTACTTGTTGAATAGTGATTAAAGGTAGTTCAATATGAAGTTTTCACATTCGGTCAATCATAGTACAAGTGGTAAACTGCAAGCTACTGTTGTCGAGACGGGTCTTATCTCTGAAAGAATAGCCTGAACAGAGACGTGATTAAGGACGTAATCAACCTAATAGAAGTCTGATATTTTTTGTGCCGCCTTGAATACATATGATCTGTGATACAAAATAGCAAAATGTCGAAAATAAATTGTATCCTGTACTGTAACTAGATAATGTTATTATTACGCACCCAGTACCATATAAGGAAGGAATTGAATTGATGAATGAATCAGTTGCTCTTCAGTTGATAATTGACACGAATTGACATCGGTTTTCGGTACTAATTGCCGAAATTTGTCTGTCTGTAATATAATGTCAATGTCTTCAGAGTCATGATTCATCGAATCAGTGAGGAATGCTAGTAGGAAATAGACAGGAAGTGCGTAGAAGGCATCGCACATGTTTATTCTGTTCCTTTTTGTATTTCGGCGGTAAACACCCAATGCCCTAGAGATTTATCCGACCAACGGATTGAAACCTCTTGATAGTGAGGCACAACTTGAAATTATTATTGCTAATCCATTAATTCGAGAGGATATTAGTACTTACGAGGGAACATAGGCAACTGTCCGATCGTTTTTTTAATAAGACTTAGTAGACTATAGGTAATCGACCATGCTGATTTCGAATATCAACATGAAACGAGCTTATAGATCCTCCAAGAGTCAGTTTTCTGGGAAACAAGTTTTTCAGAAACTCTAAAAAATAATCAAAACCTTTCTTAATGAGGCATAATTGTAGCTCGCAAAATCTGATTAAAATGAGACATCTCCAGCTCTCACAACCTTTCTTTGCAAAGTTATAGAATTTACAAGAAAAGTTCTAAATGTTCGTTGTCAGCTCAAAGGTACAGAAATAAGAAGAAATTAATTTAGAACTTTTCTTGTAAATTCTATAACTTTGCAAAGAAAGGTTGTGTAGAGCTGGAGATGTCTAATTTTAATCAGAAATTTGCGGGCTACAATCATGTCTTATTAAGAAAGGTTTTGGGTATTTTTAGAGTTTCTAAAAAATTGATTTTCCAGAAAACTGACTCTTGGAAGACCTATAACTCCGTCTCATGTTGATATTCGGAATCAGCATGGTCGATTACCTATAGTCCACTAAGTCTCATTAAAAAAAACGATCGGGCAGTTGCATAAGTTCCCTCGTTAGTTTACTAACGACGTCATTTCACATGTAAAACCAATTTTTCTCTAACTATACATATTTCTGAGTTATGAGTAGAGCAAGCACTAGATCTTGAATCTCTCTTCAGACTGCGCATATAGCTGACGGTCACTTGAGCTATTCTATTCTACTGTAATATAAACTATGCTTTTGTATACAGGAGTTTTAGTGTGAAAAAAATTACGGTTAAAATACATTTAAAACACGTTTTCTATCACTTCCAAGAAAGGTAGTATCATAAGTATTTTTGTTTGCTTACTTTTAAACAGAATCCATATAAGTATTTCAACCTTCTTTCAATAGTGTTAACTAGATAAGAAATTTAAAAAGGATAATGTGCACAGGGTTTAGAGTTTCGGCTGAGTTTTATGTTATGCTTAACTGTTAAATACGCAAAAAGTTCATCATCATTCATTTTTTTCTTGTGGTGCTTCGCATTCGAACAATAAATTTCAAAATTCGAGCTTTTTCTAATTCACCAAACTTTTGTATAATAAAAAAGTATGGATCAAAAAGAAAACTTCATTCCTCACTGAAGACGATGAAGCATCTGTTCAACAATTGATTGACCGTTCTATTCTCATTCACCGTTTTGCTTTGTCATTCTTGTGTTATGTAAGAACAATCAAATTTTTTAAGAATTTTCAGATTTTCTTCTAAATGCATGTACGAGTGAACTTTGAATCAGTCTGATCTGTCAGTACATCGCCGGCACAACAAATACGGCTCAGATACTAGTATACATCATATTTGCTATTTGAGAACCATTTCATCGTATTTCTTGTTTTCAATGTGATAGTATGGTGAACAAAACAGTCATTGGTGTTTTTCTGAACCTCTTAATACTTCATACTAACTCTGCTGCGTGCATGTTTTTTTCGAATTTCATGCTATCTCTGCAAGAATTTTTTTACATCCTCCCTAATGATGAGACCGACGACCATGTCTGATGGACTATTTATTTTTTACAACATCAAGATTTCTTTCCAGCATACGACAGTAAATAAATGAGTCTCAAAAGAAAAAAAATCGTTTTTAACTATCTTTTCAGCATAAAATAAATATGCACAAAACAGAAGCAAACTCCATTTTTTTTTCTGAATAAGTATTAAAAATTTGTTTATTTAACATTTCTAATAAACTAACAAAAGAACTTATTAGTCAATGTCAGAATCAGAAGCAAAATTAAAACATAACATCATCGATCGAAAGAACATGACAAAAAACAAATCATAGATAAAAGAAAAGAACAAAGTACAGCGGGGAAATTTTTTTGATTTATTTGTGACTAAGTGTAACAGTTCGCAATTTCCATTCAAAGAGCAAGAATAATTCATCAGCTCGCGTTTAGTGAATGAGAACTTCAGTCATTCCCTGTTCTTGCAAATGAGAACCTCGGTTGTTTTTGAACAGGAAACTGCTTAGTGATCTTTTAGTTTATTTGATTCATTTGATTTGAGCAATTAATTGATTGGATGAGTGCTGAAAGAAACATACTTAAAGAGACTTCCAAATTAGATGATAAACTTAAGTTTGCTTATTAAATTAAGTCGTTTGTTCTTGAGATCTAGATTTACTGCTCAAGTTCGTGAGCACATCGTGAAAAAGTTAAGCGTCTACTTTCTTGTAATTTATGTTTATATTGGATTACCATTATGGTACTTCTTTTATTAAATAACGTTGGTTTTTCAACTGTTTTCAGTAAGCTGCAAAGCCCTCGAACGTTTAGCAGTTCATTTTTCTTTTTTTATTAGATTATTTTCTCACTCATAATGGGTGATCCAGAATATCCCAAAACGTCGGAAACTATGCAATTAATTGTCTACTAAATGCCAGTTAATAGCTAATGAAACAGGTATTAAATGGCATTTTTTACACAAGTGAGACTGTTTTTTGGCCATTTTTGCACATTATAAATGGGAACATTTTAAGAGAACCTTCGCAAGAAAGCCATCCTAGGTATCGAACATACTATCCGCTGGCAAAATTCTTTTTTTAAATTATTCACATATCATTTGAAAGAGCATTCAAAATGACTACTAACTCTGCAATAACTTTCTGAAAGTGTTTTGTTAAGAGACTAGAGACGAAACATTCTACTAGGGGTCGATGATTAATCGAAAAAACGTGAATCTTATATTAAATCCGTTCGGGGTACCTTTCTCGAGCTTGTCTGACTTTCTTTTTAAAAAGATCTATTTTAGAAGGTTAGGAGAAAATAATTTTTATCAAGTTTTGACATGAGTAGCTAACATTGAGTCATATGCAGTTTTTAAGCACCAAAGTAAAAAGCTTCATTTGTGAAAAGTACGAAAAAATGTCTTTTTCGATACATAATATCCATTTTCCAGCCAATTTTATAATATTAAAATTTTTTTCTCGACTAATATGAACTGATGAAGCGAAAAAGTCATGCCACTAGATGTAACTTTCGATGCTCTATTCAACCATGTGTAAATTATTGTGTTTGGTTAATGTGCCAAAACTAAGATCAAAACCAGTGGGAAACCGACCTCAAATACAGTGCTTGTCGTAAAACGTGTGTAAAATTCTAAAAAGACATCGCAAAGAGCTCGTCAATATTTACTTTTGTAGGAAAATGTTTGCTCTACATCTGTAATGACTCAA